AACCAAATATGCCGTCCGGCCGACGCAAACGTAATTTACCACCATCACGGCTCTGATACGTTCTGCTCAGCCACCACACTCACAATAAGTGTCACTCAATGCTCAAAGGGTCTGTGACTCCGTACAGCATGTGTGCGCGTATACTCTGAGCTGTGACCGCTACTGCCGGCGGCAGTGGAGGCCGCTATTTGCCAACGACTTTTATCGGTGCCCTGTCCCGACACCGTTATGATCATGGTCTGTTCGTCTTATGACCATGTTCCGACCATGTTCTGGCCGGCATTGTCCGTCTTTCGACCATGTACTGTGTTTTTACCGCTGTCTGACCGTGGTCTATGCTTCTCTCAGGCGGACGTGATGGCACTCAACCCGGACATGCATGACGTGGACGTACGCCGGCTGGTGGACAGCATCAAACAGGTGGACAGCCAGGTAATACCGCGCCTCGCTGAGGGAGGGGTACTGGTACTGCAGCTGGCATAGGGCTGACCATTGTAGGTCTGGTGGGGCGGGGCATATTGACTGGTTTCGGCGAGTACGCGTAATTCGGAGCGCTGCAGCGTGAGGGCTGCTGTTTAGGTCAGGACAGGTGTCATCAGATCTGCTGCATTGCCTGATTCGCAGGCGTTTGTTATTGTGGTTCAAGAATGAATGGCAAGTGTAGTCAAAATGTAAGAAAGTAATGGATAGAAAGCTTCAGTTGCGGCTCGCCTCAAATGCATGAGAAGAGGGAATTCGTTATGGGTATCTTGTGTTCCCGGCCTGTAACCCTGACAGATGGCAAACTGGGGTTTCGATCGGTGCCAGTTGCGACTCTTGTATGACCCTACCGTGCGTCTCTTCGCTGCAGAGGCGGGAATACGAGCGGTCCCTGTCTCGGTTCTTCGAGGACTCTGACTCGTACGCCCGCGAGTCGGAGGGTCTGACTCTGAGGATCAACACCCTCAAACGGAAAATCTCCGCCATGGAGACCACGTGGGTATACCAGTAGGCGCACGCGATCAACTTGTGGATGGTCGTCCACATTGTGGTGGAAGTGTTGTGGATGGTAAACTCTGCAAAAGAGTTATGTAATGACTCGTGGTGATTTTTTTTTTTTACTTTAGGTTCATGATTCACTGACTCATTGAGCCCAAGCAAATTGACAGTTGTATAGAAGAACAGATGGGGCGTTCCACGACAAATCGACAAATGAAAAATTAAATTTGCACCCTCATATTTTATTCTTCGTTGAAAACTGGTGTAAGGGGTTGTGATGGGCGGGGAGGCCAGCTGTGGTAAGGATTTTTTTCTTCGAACAACGGTTTCCGAGATATAGCCTCGGGCAATTCCTGGAGTTCGCGCTGCAGCCCTATGTTTGGCGGCCTATAACTCAGAAACTATTGGTTTTTTACGATAAAAACTTTATATAGTTCAACACACAATCAACCAACAAACATTTTGGCTATCTCGGATTTTCAATTTTTGAAAATTTTGATCGCGTGACCTTTTGTCCTATTTTTCGAAGAATGACCTTGATATTTTCCCCACTGAAAGTTGCAATTTTGTCTGATGACGATTAAAGCCTTATCAAGTGTCATTCATATGCGATAATAAAAAAAGTGGTTATCGCCCTGCGTTGACCTCAGGTCAGGTCATTTTTATGACCTGTCCATTATTACGAGCGGGAGCGATAGCGAGATCTCGAGAATAAAGCAAGATAGCGACAAGCGGTAAACGGTAAAGGGTACACACGGATAAGGTCTATAATTTTTACTGAGGTCATTTTCAGGTCAGGTCAAAGATGACGTCACAGGAGCTAAAAGGAAGTCAAAATAGCGGCACTATACATAAATATGAAGTTTTTCTCGAATAACTTTCAAGGTATCCCAGCTAGGAACAAACTAATAGCACCATCGTGATCCTCTCGTCGATCCGCATCGAAACATATGAATTTTGACCTCGAAAGGTCGAAAGGTCAAAAGTTGACCCTAGGTCACGTGATCTAAGGTCAACTTTTGACCTTTCGACCTTTCGAGGTCAACATACATATGTTTCGATGCGGATCGACGAGAGGAGCACGATGGTGCTATTAGTTTGTTCCTAGGTGGGATACCTTGAAAGTTATTCGAGAAAAACTTCATATATATGTATAGCGCCGCTATTTTGACTTCCTTTTAGCTCCTGTGACGTCATCTTTGACCTGACCTGAAAATGACCTCAGTAAAAATTATAGACCTTATCCGTGTGTACCCTTTACCGTTTACCGCTTGTCGCTACCTTGCTTTATTCTTGAGATCTCGCTGTCGCTCCCGCTCGTAATAATGGACAGGTCATAAAAATGACCTGACCTGAGGTCAACGCAGGGCGATAACCACTTTTTTTATTATCGCATATGAATGACAATTGATAAGGCTTTAATCGTCATCAGACAAAATTGCAACTTTCAGTGGGGAAAATATCAAGGCCACTCTTCGAAAAATAAGACAAAAGGTCACGTGATCAAAATTTTCAAAAATTGAAAATCCGAGATAGCCAAAATGTTTGTTTGTTGATTGTGAGTTGAACCATATCAAGTTTTTATGGTAAAAAACCAATAGTTTCTGAGTTATAGGCTGCCAAACATAGGGCTGCAGCGCGAACTCCAGGAATTGCCCGAGGCTATATCTCGGAAACCGTTGTTCGAAGAAAAAAATCCTTGCCACAGCTGGCTTCCCCGCCCATCACAACCCATTAGACCAATTTTAAGCAAAAAAATAAAATATGAGGGTGCAGGGCACTTGTCGATTTGTCGTGGAACGCCCCAGATGTTCCATCAACCTCCCCCATTAATCAGCTGCTGACCTATGATCCGCTGGCCGTTTTGTCTGCCAGGTTCCTGCGCTTCTTCAAGTACAACGACCAGCGACGAGCGTTGATGGGCGCCAGCACCGTCAAATGGGCGGTACCGACTCTCACCATGGCCAGAGACATCATACAGAAGGTAGGTACGACACACGTCGTCCTCTGTCCAGCGAGGACGGCGGTGGTTACTGCAGCATCTCGTCTCCCTCTGTGATAACCTCCTTCGCTGCCCGCCCGGCCCTGACAACCGCCCCGTCCACAGGTGGGTAAGACGGCGTACGGTCGTATCCTGCGCATGGGCTTCCCACTGCCCTCTGCCGAGGTGGTGGCTGCCTCGATGGAGCGCGCCTCCGCCGGGAACGTGCAGTGGGGCCTGGTGGACGTGCTGGAGAACCGCGCGACCGGCGAGCCGCAGAGCATCCAGCCCGTCCCCATACAGCAGGTGAGAGACGTCGGTGGCGGCCGGCTCGACCGGTCAGACAGAATGGGTGGGATAGGCGCAGCGGGTGATGGACCGGCGAGGGTCGGGACTTGACCAACACGTGAAAGTGTTTGGAATACTTGACAGAGTTCCGTATGAAATGTTTTCTCAAACAGCCACGTTTTTCTGGAGAGGTAGCGTAACAATCCTTGGGATGCTTTATCTTCTTGTAATTGTGCTGTTCTCATGTGTGACGCGTAACTCAGCCGTTCACCAAATCGTCGGTTTATTTCAGAACGGCACGACGGAGACGAGAACTGAAGGAGAGCCTGCCGCCAAAAAGGCCAAGACGTCCGGTAAGTACCCGCCGCTCTGCCGTGTGGGGTGTTGGAGGCCATTTTATCAGGCCAAATAACACTAGACGTGACATGCATACTATTACTGACCTCATCCACCTAGCATCGGGGAGATTATCTATTGGCTTGAATTGACGATAAGTGTATTTGCTATCCACAGCGTATAGTTAGTCGGAGTGTTGTTTCATGTCTGCCCCTTGAAGCTCGACGCGTGCGCAAGCTCAGAAGCCGATTGGTTGGTTGGATGCTGTTGTGGTTAATTCTTTCGCGCAAACTCGTTCCCTTCCTTCCCAAATGCCTACATCGGTCGGTGATCCCTGCGTTTGCGACTTATTCACTAGTACCGTGATCATTTCGTCTCCAATCATCCCCTTCCGCACCGCGGCCTGTCATCTCCTGGACCATCTCACGCCGCTGCCCATGGCCTGATCTTCCCAGATCCCCATCTTCTGTCACTAACCCCACGCCGTCCTCCCGTTCTCCTCCTGCCGCTCTGACACCCCTCGCCCTCTCTCTCCAGGTTCAGGAGAGGCAGCGACGACCGGTGACAGCGGGGCACTGCAGGGCATCACCGCCGAACACCTGCAGAACGTACTGGCCGGCAAAGGCTCGCTGGTCGACTCGAAGGGGCGCGTCATCAAGGTGTCCCTGGCGGACGTGCCCGGCGCGCCGCCCGGCGCCAAGACGGTCGTCATGGAAACGCCCGATGACGCCGGCGAGGTGCGCTACGTGCCGGCGGAGGAGGCCGGGTCCGCCGCCGACGAGGAGGCGGCCGATGACGTCGAGCCCGCCGCGGAGACGGCGGAGGGCACCACTGACGAGGGGGAGGCGGCCGAGACGACCGAGACCTAGCGCAGCCGGCGGCGGCAGTGAGAGGCGCGCAGACAGTGCGCGGACAGACTGGAGAGCGCCCCACGCCGGGCGGCAGACTGGGGGCTGACTGGGTGCGTTATTTACCGTTTACGTTGTGCTGCGGACAGTGATTGATATCTCTCACTGGAGTCGCGCGCTTACTTCGTGTACCAGCCTATGCAGTGTGTCGGTATCATCCCAGAATTTTCTGACGGCAGTGGCACGCGATGCCGTTGCATAAGAGTTGATTTGTGTTTTGTCTGATATCATCGACTCCAGGGCGGGGCGGGGCATATCGGCCGTTCGGGGCGGCGCCATCACCGGTCCTGGCGTCGCACCATCTCATTAATGTTCATAATTAGCGAGCAGTTTCACCACGTCATTGTGAATACAGGCGATCATCACCCGGCGTTGTTTTTAATCGGCCGACACATTGGGCGCCGTGATGGGACCTCTGTAGATCGCAGTGAGCTTGGGGAACGGCAATGCGACGATTGTCTTCGTTTATGGCCCCGAAGCGTAAAAAATAGACGATTAAAAACCTTAAATGCAAAATAATTTATATATAGGCACAATATCCCACAAACAAGTGACAAGTAGCAGCTGGGACAGGTCGTTTTCATTAGCCGGCGCCGACGGTGACCGTGGCGGAGTCGACCTTCGGCCGGTCGTCGCTCTCTCCCTCTGTCTCGCGCGCCCGCTCCTGCACCTTGCTGCTCTTCCCGATCCCCAGTCGTGGCCGGCCCTGCGGCGGGAAAATGAGGAGGGGGATGAGTGGCGTCACACACAGCCAGACAGTGGAACTGCGTTCAGAACTGAACATGACTTACCCCGCGTTCGATGTCTCTCGGACGACGAAGATTCTACGTCGTCCGGCCAATCCCGTTCAAGGTCAGCGGGGGCTCGGCTGCGGTTATGGAACGTGATAGGCCGGACGACGTAGAATCTTCGTCGTCCGAGAGACATCAAACGCGGGGTTAGATTCAGAAAATGGATAATGGTTACTCGTAACAGTCTGCTGGTAGCTTCGAGGCCGTTAGACGCTAGACTGATGACGTTAAAATTGTGAAATCAGGCCACACCCAAGTCTCCAAACCACTTTCCGGAGGCTAGCAGCTTGGAACACCTGCAGGAGCAGCTGAGAGTCGCCCGCTGCCTCGGCCGGCCCGTGTTCCTGCTGGGAGACATCAACTTGAATGTGCTGGACGCTGCCTCGCCGCGGATCTGCCGCTACAATAGCCTGCTCTCCGAGCTCGGTTTGGTGCAGCTGGTGAACCAGCCGACTCATCTTCACCCCGTGCCGACGGCGCTCGACCACGTGCTGACCGACCAGAGAGACCCTGTGCCTGAGGTCGAGGTGCTGCCGGTCGCCATCAGTGACCATCAGCCCGTAATCGTCACCGCGCGCCTCGGCCGTGTGCGCAGACCTCCTGAGTGGCGCACGGCGCGCCCCTGGCGGCGCTGCGACTGGGACGCCGTCTGCCTAGAGTTTCTGGGGGCTGACTGGTCAGCGGTGGACGGCGCTACCGATGTGAACGTATGTGTCCGCGAGTTCATGACCATTTGGAACTCCGTGATTGACCGACTCTGCCCTGCGAGACGAGTGCGCGTCAGTAGGCCGGACTGCCCGTGGCTGGCCGACGACCCCGCGCTTCGGGCACTGATGTCGGAACGTGACGCCGCCCGCGACACCTGGATCTGTCTTCGGTCTCCCGAGTCCAAGGCAGACTACCTTCGGCTCAGAAACTCTGTAAAGAGTCAGCTCATCAAAGCGCGTCGTGACTTCTTCTGTGACGAGTTGGCGTCGGGGGACCGCAGAGACTTCTGGACCAGGTTCAGACGCATAAGTGCCACTCGCCGGCCCCGGCCTGCTGCCGCTGCCGACGCTCCGGAGCAGGCAGCTGCCTGGGCCGACGAGCTGAACAGGCATTTTGCCACCGTAGGATCCCGCATCGCTGACGAGCTGCGGCAAGTCGCGACCGAGGGCCGGCACGCTCAGCGCCCGCCCACCGTCTGCTCCACCAGTTTCCAGCTCCAGCCAGCTACCCTGCCAGAACTGTGGCAATGCATCCAGTGTATGAGCGCGTCCAGGGCGGTGGGGCCGGATGGGGTACCACTCTTTGCGGTACGGCGCTGCTTCCCTGTTGTTGGCCCCCATCTGCTTCGGCTGGTAAACCTATCGATGATGACGGGCGTGTTCCCCGAGTGTTGGAAGTTAGCATGTGTCGTGCTAATACCAAAGTCCGGTGATCTTACCCAACCATCAAATTATAGGCCTATTTCACTTTTAAGTGTGCTGTCAAAGATTTTAGAAAAAGTAGTATGTGTTCAACTTACAAATTATGTCGAAGCCAATCACTTGCTGAGCCCATCTCAATATGCTTATCGTTCACACCACTCTACTGAGGACGCCGTGATCGACGCTGTCGAGCGCCTTGTCAGCAACACCGACCGTGGTCTAGTATCGTCGGTAACGGCGATCGATCTATCAAAGGCGTTCGACAGCGTCGATCATGGCGTCCTCCTCACCAAATTGCCATGGTATGGAGTCACTGACGTCGGCTGGTTCTCCAGCTATCTCGATGGACGGCGCCAGCTTGTCAGGGGTGGCGATGTGACCCTGCCTGTACCCTGCGGCGTGCCCCAGGGCTCGATCATCGGTCCGATCCTTTTCATTCTGTTTACCTCAGACCTTCCGGCACATCTAACTCATGGCCGCCTCATTTCATACGCAGACGACACCCTCCATATAGACTGTGCCTCACCTGACGGGCCGAGCCTGGCCGAACTCCGAGCTAGGCTGGAGCTCACCATGCGCGAGCTTCATGCCTGGTTCGGAGCGAACTCATTAAAAATGAACAGTAGCAAAACCGATTTCATTATTGTTGGTACAAAGCATAACGTAACAAAAACCCATGATTTCAAGTTCGAAGTGGAAAACTCTTTGATTCAGCCCTCAAAAACCATCAAAATTCTTGGCGTCACTGCGGATGCGATCCTGTCATGGGAGGAGCACATCACGCTTGTCGTCCAAAAGTGCAACAAAATTCTCTTTTCACTGCACAGATTCAGACACTATTTTACACCTGAAGTTCTCAAAATCATCGTTCAAGCCTATGTCTTCCCGCATATCATTTATTGTCTTTGTGTGTGGGGTGGGGCGGCCAAGGGACAGATGCAAAAAATTCAGAAGCTAATCAATTTTTCGGCCAGAGTTGTAACAGGGGTTAAAAAACACGAGCACATCACATCATCTCTAAATTCCCTTGATTGGCCGAGGATCGCGGCCCTGGTGGCGCGCCGGGACGTCACCAAGGTGTGGAGGCTGCTGCGGACGGACGGCGCACCCTCCAATGTGCGAGAGCTCCTGGTGCCCCGGAGCGTGGTGTCGACCCGGGAGACGCGCGGCTCCGATGGCGGCGACCTGCATGTGCAGCGCTGCAGACTGTCATCGAGCCAGAGAGCCTTCTCATACCGCGGGGCGGTAACCTGGAATGGACTTCCACAGTCTGTCCGTGGCATGCCCACCCTCCGCGCCTTCAAGGCGGCGGTCAGAAAATGTGACAACACTTAGCGCTCCACTCACTTTACTCACTCGCTCATAGGCCTCATCTTCTTTTATCTGGTGTTTAACGTGTTTATAGTGTTTGCCTACTGCTTAATTTACTTTACTTTTAAAATGTAATGGCCTGGTGTCTTAGGTATGTGTTTTAATCCCGTGTTTTAGTAATGTATCATCTGACGTGAGATCAGAATAGCCACTGCGTGGATGGTCTCTACAATAAACTCATACTCATACTCATACTCATACTTTGCGACAAGTTGTTCGCAGATAACGTGCCGCTTTACCGATACTGTTAAAGGGACCCTCCCACCTTCAAAAAAGTTTATGAATTGGCATGAAAGTGATGTCGCTCGGTTCAGAAAGAGCGAAAACGAATATCTACCAAATTTCACCGAAAAATATTCACCGGTTTTCAAGATATTAGACTTTTACTTTTGTTTACTTTTTTGGGATCTCCGCTGTTTCTAGCGACTTTATTTTAGAAGTGCGGCGTTTGCGGCAGATGTTGCGCGCAAATAGCATATACCACCGCGTGCTACAAAACGTTTTAGTCAAACATTTAAAAACCGTTGGATATTTGCGCTGACGTCACACATTCAGAGGGGTATTCCTAAGCATTAGCCCCTCTGAATCAAAATGCTGCAATTTTGAAATTCAATATTTCCGATTTAAGGCATTTCTCGATGTTGTGAATGCCGAAACCGGTAATTGTGAGCCAGGGACCCCATTTTGGCTATCTCAACTCAAATCTAATGTTAAGGTGGGAGGGTCCCTTTAATGAACAGCCAAACCAGGTCGACGCTAAAAAAACGCATCAAAACGCTTCAAGCAGAATTAGTCCTAAGCCCAACCCTTAATCAACCCAAACGCAAACCACCGGCACATCACGACACCGGATTGTACCGAAGTCCAAAAGTAAAACACTACTGACGCCACCCCTGCCAGCCCTCTCCGCCGATCTCCGGCCGCCTCTGACCTGGTTCAGTCCCTGCAGCAGCACGCACGCCTTGCAGACGGGCTGGGACGAGATGTACTGGCAGCGCGAGCAGGTGCCCTGCGTGGGCAACCGGGCGGCGTCGCGCACCGCCAGACTCTCCCCCGAGTGGATGATGTCGATGATGGAGGTGGCTCGGATAGCCTCCAGGTCCTTCAGGTAGGCGCGCGCGTAACCCCTGACGGAGGGCGAGGGTAGTGAGGTGGACGGACAATATTTTACACGCCATAGATGGGAGAACACACAGTGTATATACGAGGCCTGATCAAAAAGTATCCGACCTTTGTCCCCAGACAATAAACGCGAATGGTTACAGAGTTCGAACTGTATTCTCACTCAAAGTACGCCCCTTGCGAATCTACACACCTAGCCTAGTTGCCCTTCCATCGCTGGAAGCACTGTGAGAAGTCACTCTTCGCGATCGCCAACAGGGCCATTGTCGCATTCGTCTTGATCCCCTCTGTGTCCTGAAATTTGGTGCCTTTCAGCGGCATTTTCAAGTGGGGAACAGCCAGAAGTCACATGGGGCCATATCGGGTGAGTGTGGGGCCTGCCGCACCTGCGTGATGCCGTGCTTGGCCAGAAACTCCTGTAGGAGATAGACTGAGTGGGCTGGCGCTTTGTCGTGGTGAAGCTGCCAGTCCTGCGTCGCCCACAACGCCGGTCTCTTACGCCGCACAGCGTCCCGTAGATGACGCAGAACTTCCAGATAGTATTGTTTGTTGATCGTCTGACCTTCTGGAGCATACTCATGATGAACAACACCCTGATCGTCACCGTCGTCAACACCAATTTCAGGATTTCTGCTCGTCGAGGGCCTGCCAGGCCGCATGTCGCTCTCTACTGAACCTCGACCGTTCTTGAAGCGGTTGTACCAGAACTTGATTTGGGTAACGCCCATCGTTTCATTGCCGAATGTCAGCTGAACTTTTCTGATAGTGTCGGACTGCGTTTCCCCAAGTTTCTGACAAAATGTGAAGCAATATCTTTGCTCATTTCTTTCGGTCATCTTGACGCTGGGAGGAAATGCGACGACCGAGCAGTAGGCACGTGCATACAAGCAATGCTGGACAGTGACTGAGCTGGACGTGGACGCTGAAAATACGTGTGCACGTGCACAACGATTAAGGTATCATCCACACAGGGTATCACACACCTGAGCCTAATGGCCTTCGAGCAATATGGAGAACAGAGGGCGAGGACATCGCCACCAACAGCCAAGCAAACACCTAAGATGTGCTATACGTCAGCAGGGCTTTCACCAGCCTGCCATGATCCAAGAGATACGAGTCAAAATTTGACTCCTGTAGACATGTAATGCCTATGAGAAATAGGCCAGTCTATTTGGTTTATCAATGAACCCAGAGTTACCGGTCGTTATAAAAGAAGGCATATCGATCCTGTTTGGCGCTGCCTTACCTGTAGGCGTTGGGCGAATAGATGCACTCTGTAGAGAAGTAGTCGAGCTTCTTGAAGTAGGCGTACATGACGATCTCCTTCTCGTAGGTGTATTTGAAAGGCTTGGAGCGTGGGATGGAACCCTCGGTGCCCTGGAAACGTGAGGGAGACCAAACATGGAATCGAACAACCAGCGTCGGGTTGCCTAGCCTATAGACCAATGACAAATGGAGTCACGTTTCTTTTGGAAATCGATAACCCAACTTTGACGGGCAGCAAAAAAGGCAGTGGCAAGTGGCAAGGAACAAAATTTAAAAAACAATTTCATACAAATTAAGCGCGAAACATGTCCGCCTTTGTATCTTATTTGTTTATTAGGATTAGTTTAGGGCGCGTCAACTGCACTAGTAATAATTTTTGCGCCCATTACTTGTCAGCGTAATATCCATGACCCGTCCCAGCATCATAATCGGCGGGCGATGCGCGAAATACCAAAACACCTGTAACTACCCTCCCCCTAATATCACCTCTCTGTTAAAACGAACCCCCACTGTCAGACCTCCCCTGCCCCTTACCTAGGCTACGCCTCCCCTCCCGCTCCCAGTGACTCATCCCGCCCGCCCTGCGAGCAGCCCCCGGCGTCTCACCGTGCTGATGGCAGTGCACCGCTGCAGGCGCGCGATGTCGCCCCTCAGCACGTTCATCACTACCGTCTCGGCGATGTCGTCAGCATTGTGCCCGGTGACGATCTGGTCGACGCCGAGCTGGGCGGCGCCGCGGTCCAGCGCCTGGCGCCGGAACACGCCGCAGAACGTGCAGTTGTTCCGCAGACCCACCTGGGACGGAAGGAGGTGGGGCTGATGTCAACCAGGCCAGGAACAATCCTGAATAAGAAAACCACACTTACCCATACTACATCAAACCACCAAAGTTAGCAATCATGACATTTTTCTGGAAAACACATGCGCACAGCTCGACATAATCTACCCTGAGCACGTCCCCATGACCATCTCTTGCGGACCTGTTTGACGATGTCGTCCATGGTCCAGCCGTACAGGTCCTCGTATGAGAGCACGGTGAGCGGTATGCCGTACTGGTCCCGGTTCCTTTTGACCGTCTCCAGGCTGTCGTCGCGGTACCCCGTGATACCCTCGTCGATACTGAGCAGCACCAGGCGCAGGCCGTAGTCGTACCTGCAGGTCAGGTCAGATCGGGGTCGTGACACCCCGTGATACCCTGGTAGACCCCAGTACACCCAGCACTAGCACCACTAGGCGTTGGGATCTAGATCTTGCTGCATCTTACTACTGGGATGCTATATGGATCAGGTCGAAGGAAAATAGCCGTAACTCATGTCATTCGCCATACATTAAGATAGAGGTTGCAGAACACGCCCCTGCCCGGTACCATCATAACCCCACAATGCTCGCCCCGCGCCCGCGGCGTTACCCACCTCTGGTTGAGCTCCTTCATGACGTGGGCGAGCACGGTGGAGTCCTTGCCTCCGCTGGCCGCCACCGCCACGTACTGGCCGCGCCGGAACAGACGTGCCGCCGTCACCGTGTTGTGCACCTCCGTCTCAAATGCCCAGAAGAAACACTCGCGGCACAGCGCGTCGCCAGTCTTCGGGCGCTGCCAGAGGGACATGTGGAAGGTCAGATGGGGAGGCATGGGTAGTAGCTTGCAAAGTAAAAACGCAGTCACTTCGAATGATTGCAACGGTTGCAAGATACACTAAATATATCCCAATAAGCTGTCTCATACATCAAACACAGTGACATCAATTAGAGCGCGATCTTACCTTTAGGATGGCGTTTTTGCCGCAGCCAGTTTTACACTTCGGAGCCATCGCTCCTGAAAGTTTCACTTATGTCTGTCGCTCAGTTATGTAGACCAGACGAGCAAGTGCCTGTAACAGACCGTAACAGATAAAATACTGATGTCTCACTTTTAGCAGCCATTTAGAGGGCAGATCCGAAAACGACTGGCCTTTTTAGGGAAAGTCACAGTGGCGCATTGATACTTAGCATTTTGCCTATCACGCAAAGTGTCGTGTGATTATATAGACCTGTAGTGACTCTTCGAAAGTGTGAAAAGCGTGTTGTGCTGTTCGAGTGGATCTTGATTGATAGCACTTCCGAAAACTAGGTGAGAAAATGTTCGGTCGACGGTCGGTCTATTCGCCATTCGGTCTTTACATCAAGTCCCTACCGAAAGTCGAAAACGAATCAGTATGCACGTCAATTCTCACCATATTTATTGCCAGTAGCATTACAGCGTAATACGGTGTTATCCAAAACCAGGAAGGTTGGCAGGGTACTGACAAAAGCAGACAATGACCCGTCGCGGTTTAAAATAAACACAACACGGCGCTTATCGAGTTTGAGAACAGTCAACTCGTCAGAGCGCGAATACGTACAACGCAGGATACATATGTACAACAGTGGCATAAAACCGCACGATAACCCCAATGGGTGGGATTACAAAAAAAAAAAAATGATGGTACAAACGATCGAGATGGTATCGGCTTTCATTGTGATGAACGCTAAAATGAAAACGAGCGAGGCATGATGAACAGCACAATTCGACGCACATGCGCCCAGCATGGCCGGCCCTCCAATTCATCGACAGCGCATCACAAATTGACACTTCACCGCTGACGACACTGTCACCAGATCGTTTTGCCACTAGTCTCTCACTCGACAGTCCGTTCTGGCTTCAAAACGCCAGAGTCCTGGGCAGCCACTGACAGCAGCCCATTGCCGCGGTGCCACACCTGGTCACCAAACACTTCACTAAGGACCACGGCGATAGCCTCCTCTCCTAGCAGTCCATGGCTCATCCTGTCCCAAAGTTCAAAGTTCACGCACCGCAGCGCTACACAAAGCTGTCGTCGTCGTCCGGCACGGGCAGGCTGTCCTGCTCCTGTCCTGGAGCTGGCGACCCGGCTGGAGAGTCGTTCCGCGAGCCGGGCTGGTTTCTCATCCTGTCCCCTCCACCGCTGCTGCTGCTGCTATTCAGCGGCCCCAGCGCCGACGACAGGCCTTTCTTCTGCTCCAGCTCCGCCCATGGATTCTCCGTGGCGAACCTGACGAACGTGTCGTCGAAGGAGAGCCCGCCGCCGCCGCCGTGTCCGCCCCGGCCGCGTGGCGTGCCGAACCCCCGGCCGCGCGGCGTGCCCCAGCCTCCGGCGCCGCCGCCGCGCGGGCTGCCCCGCGGACTGCCCCAGCCGCCGCGGCCGCCGCGTGGGGACGGAGTGAAGTCAGGCAGCCGGCCGCCGGGCGACGGCGACTGCACCAGTGGTGAGAAGCGGGCGGCACGGCCCCGGAACCCGCCGCCGCGTCCGCGGGGCGTGAACGGCGAGCCGCCGAAACTGGACCGGTTCATGGCGCGCCAAACTCAGATGGTCCGACACGAGCACACTGGAGTCACTGACCGAGCGCCGCTTCAGGTCTGTCACTGGCTGCCACTGAACACTAGCAAACCAGATATCAAGTGCCAGTGCAGTTAGAGGCGCTCCTCACTGTGTGATCGGTACTGAACGGTTCCACCACTGGGCTTCAACAACCTGAACCAAAAACAATACGCAGTTGTGAGAAATAACAATAAAATATAATCAGGCTCCTTAAGAGTCATGACCGATGCAACAACACAACTGGCAGCTTGGGCCCTAAAACCTGAAGAAGCTGTTAACTAACAAGATGTTCAAGAAGTTTTCTGACTGAAACTGCAGCATTCAAATGTTTTCATTTCTTATGATAGATATTTATGTAGGAACTGTTAACAATAGGTAGGCTCTGATAAGGCTTCAAGAGAAATTGGCTTCAAGACAAATTAGAAACTAACAGTTTAAATAACTATCTTTTGAATTGTTATTTCATAAATCTGTACTAAAACCCAAAATGCATGGGACTTTTTTTACCAGTCCCTGCATCATACCTTCAGTAAATAAGAATGAAACTCCACATAAAATGACTTGTCTTATTAATTTTAGCAGGAAATTGACTTGATCATCTAGCATGGTTCAACTCTAATGCATTTCTTTGTGGTAAGCCTGTTTGAATTTTTTGTCTATCAGATACTGGGATGGTGAAAAATGCAAATGAGGGGGCCTGCTAACACAAGGCTAGCCTTGTGGTATGGCAACAAAGAGAACAACAGCTATCTGAGGAGGATTAAGCCAGCAGACAATTATGTACAAATTATAATTTAAAATATTAACAATACCACCTTTATTTATTTCAGTTTGATAAAAAAGTTTACATCAGCTCAGCTTGCTTTACCTACAAGTACCTACTGGCTGTATATCAAGTACCAACCAGCCAGACTGCAAAGCATGGCAGCAGTTGATAAGAAAACCTACCAGCTCTAGTAGCAATTGTGGAGAAAAGGATGAGCTAGCACCAACCACTAACAGGCCAGAAATCCTTATTAGCCCACAGTCTGCACTGGACAATGCCAACAACCTTCCCCAGAGAATTCATATAAGTGCACTGGTGGCAATATGACACCAGTCAGCAAATGCTTAGCCATATACCATTAAGCCATATCACACCATTAAGCACCACATCCAGTGGACCAAGTGCTAACCTGAACTCTCACGCTATTCCAGGCGGTCAGGTCAGGCAGCGGCAAAAGGCAATGCCACATGCATTGCCCGGGAATCAAACTTAGATGGCTGAATCTAGAGGCAACGAACTTACCCCTAGACCAGAATGCTCCCCTACAGATACAGACTGCCTAGGACCTCCCCTCCCTATTCCAATTCAAAATGACTCATGCTTGGAAGGATTGGAGTTCAGTTCTTGACATAAACTAACAGTGTATCTGAAAAAAATATTGAAAGTACACTGCATGAAAGTACACCCAGTGCTATAGATTGAGGCACGTTTGAGGAAATGACACATAGGTACCCAAAATATTTATCAAAATCTCAAAAACACAAAAAACATGGGGTAAAGGCGTGTTACCTACGCAAAAATATAGCCTAGCGTCAAGACAGTAAAATTCTGTTCGAAAGCGTTATTTGCAGGAGCTGGGGTACTCCTCAGGAGGCGGAGCTGCAGGGATCGTTCGCAGTCTGCATCCATAAGCAGTACTCGATTTCAGTTTTAGAACACACCTTCCTGGATGTAAATGATGATGGTCGACATTTTAAAAGTGATGTCATAGATTCATAAACGGCGTTTACTCATCATTGGTTTATTTTCAAACCCAAGACACTTGTTTCCACTTGCTAGTCATTAACAAAAGTGAGTGAGTGAGGGCTGATGACGTAAGTAATCAAAAAATAAATTCTTTTGGAAAGTTAGTAACTGGTATGTAATGAACCTTGACAAACGGGAGAGTGGAGGAGACGACGAGAGACACGACGCGCTGAGGCTCGACTTGTTTTATTTACGGTATAAAAACGGATTGAGCCGTCTACTTAGAGAGATATATTGATAATATTGAAATATCTTCTTTCAACCCAATAAGCCTTCTTTGAAAACAGCAGTGGTCTTCGCTTGGTGAGTTTTGGCTTCTTATCACTGGATCAGGATTGGGGGCAATCCCGTACCCAAGTTACTGTTGGTTGATTGATGTCAGTGTGTAGCAGTCTTGGGATGATATATTTTTCAGATTTTCAAGTTTCAACATTAGGACCATTTAGGATAGTCCGTATCCATCAGAGATACTGTTAACCTGGCAGTTTTATCCTTCCAAGCTGTAATAAAGTTGTGGTGCGCCATATTCGCCTTCATTCCTGTTGTCAGGATGTTCTCCCAGTACCCCAGACCATGCCTAGACAAACCCAAAACCCAGGGGTTCTCAAGGGGTGCCGATGCTAAGGCGACGGGGGTTAGGGTGGTCCATTTTGCAAAAGTTTCTAGGATCTTTCGGGTCGGGTCGGAATTCTTGTCGATACCATGATACAAGGTTGTGTGCAAAATTTTATTCCGATCGGATAAATTTATCCCGTCCCGCAAAGCGACCAAAGTTTTCCTTATGTTATCAATAACGGGGCGAGCGATAATACGAATTCTCCCACTCAGTCCACATTTTTTTGCTCAATACGCACTGGCAGTCACTAAAAAAAGAACAGCAAAGGAGAGAAACACATCAGAGTGGAATAGGCATCCGTGAAAATAGCATATCCAAAATCCACCGTGCGTGCCATCATGTACTATTGGTCTAAATATAAGGGCCCAGGCGACCCGTAGTTTTAATGCGGTGAATACCCTTACCCTCGCCATAGCTCGGGCCGAGTGCATCCCTCCTCCCACCCAGCGCAACCCCCACTCGAATTGTGGCGAGGGTGAGGGTATTCACCGCATCCGAACTACAGGTCGCCTGGGCCCTTATCTTGAGACCAATAACATAACACCAATATCCCTCTCAGATGCAACGTCCGGTGCAGTGGTGCTCCTCGACCTGAAGGAAGTGCTTTTACTATTCCTTGCCGTGCGCGATGGCGCTAAAAAAATTCCCACTGATGAGGGCAACAGTGCGATACCCAGCTCTCGCAAAGTCGTTCACCACCCTTATATGTGCCGGTCGCCGATGAGCAGTGGTCAAGTCGTCATTGTCTGACCACTCGGCCGAGTCGACATTGAGGAAATCGTGGCTGGCCCCGAGGGATGTACCGACCGATAGATGCAAACGACGCCAGCGAGCGCTGCCCTGCCCCACTGGCACTGCGTCGAGGGCGACTTCGGCGCGGCAGGGTTCTTCTCTCTCAGCCGCTGCTGCATGGAGGTGGCGATCGCCTCTTTTCCTCGACCGTCGTCCCGTCGTTGAAGAAGGAGAGACCGATGGCCTTGCCCATCACCTTGCCCGGTTACCGTCCGATATCTGTGTGGTAAGCGGTAGGAGCCTTTGCGGAGGGCGATGTCAGTTCATGATGCTGAGGTCGATCAGTGGGCAGACAGCCAAGGTGCTACTTACCTTGTGACGATGAAGGTGGTGAACCGGACCATCGTCCTCTTCTCGTGCTCGGTGAGCGCGAGCTGACAGAAGAGTGTTCTTGAGAGTGTTCTTGACTTGAGAGATCTTACGTCTTGATCACCTTTGCCATCCAACGAGCGCATTGTAGGGCAACCGGTTTCAGGATGCTCGCTTCCAAGTCACCGTCCATCACGACGATGGTGAAGTACACCACATTGCGGTAGTCATCACGGGCCGCTGCTTCTTCAGCAATGCGCGTCAGGTGACGATCATCTTGTCGAAGTCGATTAAGTCATTGAGCGGTTTGAACGACACTCGGTCCGTGAGCTGCCACCACTTTACAAACCGCTTGAAAGACGGGGTCGCGGGAGTCCGGGGCCTGAAGACGGATGGTGTGAAAAGTGAAAAGATGCGTCATGCATTTCGTAAGAGGCTCTTTCATCCAGCAAGGATTTGCTTCTGGTTGCCAAAACAAGCCACATTTCGATGATTGAGCGTGTGCCTTTGCAGCTTCAGCGGCCATCCCAGACGCAGGCAAATTCATAACTAGCGTAATGCATTCGCACCTCCTGGCATACAGGGCATTGCCTGGCACTGAGAACAGGAACTGCAACAGGAACTGTGGATTATCGTTCCTGCCTGTGGCTGATAGAAAGACCAGATCTATCATTGAGAAGACTAGAGAGGGTTGGTGCGTTGAGCAGGCAAGCTCCTTGGTAGATAGCCGCTGGCGCGACTGGGCAATGTTGAAAGACAAGTATTCGCCCTATGCTAAAGGCTGGTACGTTATAATGGAAACTTTGACCGCTTTGCGGGACGGGAAAAAATCATCCGATCTTAATGAAATTTTGCACAGAAACTTGTGCTATAGTATCGACAAGAATTCCGACCCGGCCCGATGAATCTGACGAACTTTATTTTTTACCATGTAAATGTGGACCACCCTAACGGGGGTGGAGAATTAGGGGTTTTGGGGATGCTCAAGCACCCCCTGAAATTCAAAAGTCACCGTGCAATAGTGCTCCAGGAGTGCTTAATTTACGCCTGAGACACAAACTGCTTTGCGTAAGCCGCGAGGAGAGTGATGCTGCTTGGAAAACGTACCTACACATGCTTTTCTACGCAAGAATTCGAAGCTTCCATTCGCCAGATGCTAGAGAAGCACCCCCTGGGATTATGACAATTTTCCGCCCCTGTAAGGCGATACCCCGAAGACATCACCATCATCATGTTTATCAGGCTGGAAAACTGCTTTCATGAGTTCAAATTTCAAATCACTTCTTGCTCATTGCATTAGAATGGATAACATATTTATTTCCTAACTTACAGTTTGAAGCACTGCGAGTTGGGAGTGAAAAATATGCTGTGTATTCCAAAAGAAGCGAGACTGATTGGTAAATGTCAAGTTTAAGTCCTAAGAAGATTTCATTGATGAATTTTTCATATTTTTACATTATTTGACATCCTGAATCCAAAAATGATACTCATATGTTTCGCAATTAAAAGGAAAAAACAATCAAACCTGACCTAACCTTACCTACAAACCTACCTACCTACAACCTAAAACCTACAAACCTACAACCTAACCTAACCTAAAACCTAAAATTTTTGCTGTTTCATATTCGTATCAACAGCGTCACAATTGTAGTTAGGACCTAAACTTGACATATACCGACTGATTTGCAGGAAAGCTGACACTGACACTAGCCAGGGCCCAGGAATGCTTTTCATTTCTTACTCTCCTAACCCCTCGCAAATCACTAGCCAACTAATGACTAAGCCACAAGTATATGCTATCTTTGCCTATAGTTTGTTAGCTTCCTCCTGCAATACCTACCACTCAAATTTTTCTGTAAAGCTCTAGCTCTCAGGGATCCAATGGCTTGGAGCCTGGAGGAGGTCACTGGTCAGGTCACTCTTCCCCCCCCCCCCCCATACATCAGCAGCTCTGATAATGCCAGACTTTGTGGCACTGTGTAATGTTTGCTCAAGTGAATTGACAGGGATCTGATGTGGACACATTTTGCGTTCATCACATGCATTCTTGCTTTGTATTGTACTTATCATTGCAAGCCGATCCATCTGAAAATGGCTATTATTGGCTGCAGAATCAGGTGAAACGAATGAGGTGGGCATAACATTACACACTTCATACACGTGTCACCTTTGCACACATATTTACATTTGCGCCACCGTGCTGCTACACACTGGCCGGGTCGCCGTGTTGCTCACGCAGTAGTAGCTTCAGATACTCTCTTTGAAAGAGCCTGTGACCGAGATTGCGCAGCGCCGGAGGCAGAGCGTTATACTGGATACAGTGGCGTATAGGAACCGGCGGCGCCCGGATTCCGTTCTAATCACGGGTAAATCGAGCAGGTCGGACTGACGCGTATCACGCCCATACGCGCTGCCTCGCGACAGTTCAGTTCAGCATTCATTCATATTTGCGTTCATACATTCATACGTTCATTCGCTCATTCGTTCATTACAGTATTGCCTGTAAGGACTTTGTGTGAGAGCTCTCAATGTGCATGTAGCATGCCACGATTTGTCAGTGCACTCTTGCACACCCTAGGTTTGTAAATGCACGCCTGAGCAAGGCTAATGGTGGTACTGTGCAGTGTGCACCTTCGAGATCCCATCGAAATTTGCCACGTTTTGCAGTCTGGCCTTCGTCGGAATGCCGATGTCTAGACGCCGGCACGTTTTTACGTCGACGTGACGTTGGTATGTTCATTGAGGATCTCTGTGCACTGTCCAGGGGCTGGGCTGAAAATAAGTGGTATGTGATGCCTGCGTGGGGTCCCCCAGTGATATTTTTTAAGGCATCTTATAGGGGAATGGGGTACAAGTGGTTGATGATTCCGTTTTGGTGGGCTGGGCAAAGATTCGCCAACGAATTATATGCGTAGACGAAGATTTGAGTTACATGCGTGCGCAGGTAAATGAAGAAGACAAGGGAGGGTGATGAAGAAATGCGTAGGTAGCCAAATATTGCCATCAAATCAATGAGAGATGAAGATCGAGTATTTACCCTGTATTGTCTACACAAAATAAGAACAGAGGATTCTCCTCTCATATTAGCAACTAGCTAATTTTTACCCAATCAAATGTGTAGCAGTTGTTTGTTTAGTTGCATCGATTTCTTATTTCTAAAAGAGAAGTACATAGGTTCAGGTGTTTCCACCAATGCACGGCAAAGTACAAAACTTGCTGACAAAGTGACAACACCACATAACTTGCTCGATCAAGCTCTGCCTGACTGTGGTGGTGTGCAGAATTAATTGGTGCCTCGTCACGGGTATAGGCACGTCCTCATGGCCCAAGACGCCCCTCTCCGGGGCCGCCGTGCCGCGGCATATCGCACTGGGCACTAAAAACTGGGCGGCTGACCTCACATTGGCTCCATTATTCACTGTGACGAGGGTGCGAGTGTCAGGCTGATCAGGATCTGTTAACAGATTGTTCACCAGTCATACCAAAAGAGCTGTCACTGATTTAACAATGGAAGCTTTTGTAATGACAGTTGAGTCGTCCTACCAATTGAGTCGTCCTTCTGTCATCATTGCCGTCTCACGGACCTGTGAGCCGCTCCGACTGTGTTGGCTGGTGACCTGACGTGTCACCTGTCTGGTGCCACAGGGACGCGTCTGGAGACGTACCGGACCGGCCTCACCATGTCTGCCGCCGAGCAGATGCGGGCCATGCTGGACCAGCTGATGGGGACCAGCCGAGATGGTGAGTGGAGACCGCTGGCGGCGGGCTGGCCGGCCGGGCGGCGGGGCAGGATGGCAGCCCACCGCCCCACCCGAGCCACACGGCTGAGTGCTGAGCTTTGTGGAGGGAACCTGGGGCGGCTGCTCTCCTCCCGGCCGACCCGGCCGAGGCCGGGCCTGGCAGGTTCGACGCTATCACAGTGGGGCCTTAGCTGTATTCGTGGGGATAAGTTTTTGTGTATTTAGGATTGACTAAAATTTGGTAGCAGAAACCTTCTTTATGTTTGTATATCAAGTTCTTTTCCTTGAAAACACATCATTACATACATTCAGTTTTTGCTGTTACAATGTATCTTTCAATTTGGACTGTGAGGGCGGAATGGAGAGGTGAATAGCTTTCGGGGACTGTGCTTACTGCCACTGCCGCTGTATTCGCCGCGGCATATCATCGGTCGGTGCTGTGCTCTGCTGTGTGCTCGCCACTGGTCTGACAGCTGATAGTAAGCAGCGTGTGTTTTCTTCTAGGGTGTGGCCAGCTAAAAATGCGTGTTTGCCGCCGTCAGATGCCGTCAATCACGTGTGTATTACCCCCATTCAGTCACGGGCCAGTCAGTCGCTCTCTATCTCATTAATCACTGTAGCACTCTGATGTTTGAGATCACTCTGGATAGATGTCGCTACATATCGTTCTAGAGTAAGTGCTTTGGTTAATTTCATTTGGGTTTATGTCCAGACTTGCTTTTCACACTAACTCCTGGTAATTTTGCTGAACTCTTTATGAGAATAACACGAAAGTTTGATTTGTGCAGACATCCCACTGCAGAATCTGTTCTGTTGTCTATCTTGTGATACCGTTCCCGCACGAAGAAGATTGGGTGAGTAGGACTTTCTGGCGAGTGGCCATCGACATATCTAAGCTGTAATTATTATTGAGCTGTAATCATTCTCATGATTATGATCGACCCAAGCATAGGAGCAGGAATCAAACAAAAAACTTGTGGAAATAGACCTAAGTTCTAGCCAATGCAATGCAGTAAGTTACGAGCTTCGTATTAATATAATTTTGTAAATAATCGCTTGGCACTCGACGTGAAGCAGCCATCTATTTTTCAACGATTTTTTTCTCTTAAGGAGTGAAAATGCAAATAATTTCGCTTCTAGAATAGTTTGCTTGTTTAGTCAAGGAAGCTGTTTGAAAAGCAATAGTTAATGTTACATATTGTCTTAAAATTGAGTTTTGGTTACTATTTTTGATGATCAGTGTTTCATTGCAAAATATTATACGCTCCGTTGATTCTTGCTCCTTGGCCAGGGTAGTAAGAAACTCAAGTCGAACATTTCGGTTTGGGTTCTCAGTCGATTAGTGGCTAAAAATGTCCTCATTTGAAAATCTAAAACGCTCATTATCCTTGTCACTTCTACAGAGAATTCGGCTGCCATCTGCGACTAAAAAGAAATGAGTGCAATTTCGCTTCATTTATTAAAAATACTGTGATATCTTTCGGGCCCTTGCAGTAGTGTATGGCGATCAGTTTCCGTAATGTCATATGTTCTATGCTTGTATGCGCCCCGTTTCGCGATCCTCCGAGGTAAGGGAGGCCTGTGACGAGCTCTGCGGAGCGGACGACACCCTGGTCTGGCCAGCTCCGCCCCGGAGGTACAGGCAGAGCGAGCGGGCGCGCCGCAGGGCCGTTAACACCCTTGCAGGAGCAGCGCCGGATCGGCAGACGGCGGCGCGCGTATTGTGAGTCCGAGAGCCGCTGGCCGCGCAGCGTTTCCATGGCAACGTCCGGGGGTCGTGGTTGCCATGGTGACGGCGCCGCCACCGTCGCCCTCCCCGGTGTCCCCATGCCGTGTCACGATGGTCCGGTGAAGGTCATGCCAGGGACGACACTCGCATAATTTCTTTCCATTTCGTTGCATTTTGACATTCAAATCATTTCGATCATGTAACACCGTAAATACTAAACGAGGTTTTATTTGTCTACTGAATGATGTGAGCGTCGTCCCTGATTAGAGCTAGATGCCTTGATTCCATTGGATTAACATCCTTGCAATGTTCGATGGTGCGATATGTAGTTTATTTTTCGTGCAAAAAGGAAATCCTTGTTACATCTCCTGCTACGTGAGAAAAGCGCAGTGTAAGAATGTATTGCTTCTCACCTGTCTTCTGTGCAACGAAAAACCTCGGCGGTATTTCACATCGGCAAAACATCCTGCTGATAAGATTTATCTTTCGACGTTCCCCTCTGTGGCATCCTGTTGATCCTCTGCATGTGGCATCAGAATATCTGCTGGTGGTGGTCCCTTTCCTGCCATATAGCCTCGTTGCCGGTGCGCCCTAAAACACCACACCTTTCCTCATACATCACCCATCAGGCGACCGTAGCCTATGAGCAGGCGTTTCCGCGGCACGGGGGTCTCGGCTGTGATTCTGCGACCGACAGAGGTTCCCCGGCGGGGGTGGGGACCCAGCCAGCTGGTACGAGCGCGGGGAGCGGGCAGCGGTGGCCGCGCCGACTCTGACTCCCCTCCTGTCCGCCAGGCGAGTCGAAACTCAGCGTGCGCTTCACCGACCCGAAGGTCTGCAAGAGCTTCCTGCTGGGCTGCTGTCCCAACGAGATCCTGGCCTCGACGGTACGGTGGCCGCCGGTCCTCGGGCCGGGCCGGGGCGGGGCGGGTGACCACTGGTTCTTAGAGTGGGTTTGAGCCGAGGCGGGTGTGACTCTGAGTTGTCATAGTGGAAGTATCTGTCATTGGTTACATTTTATTACGTTTTCTCAAATACCGGTGTTTAGGAAACATTTGTGCCTATCAAAAAGGTTCGTACTTATCTCACCAATTCGATATTCGGTGTTAATTCTTCCCGGTGCTGGAGCCCGAGTGTGTGACACCGAGTGTGACCCGTGTGTTCACGTGGCGGCCGTTTCAGCGGATGGACCTGGGCACGTGCTCCAGGATCCACGATGTGGCGCTGCGGGCCGACTACGAGTCCGCCATCAAGGAGAAGGACTACTTCTACGACATCGACGTAAGCGCGCCGCCGCTAGTCAGAGACGTGATGGAGAAGCACGCGGGGATGCTGGGACAGCGGGTATCTTTTGTAGGATATGCCATGCCTGTTTCAAACTATCACTGAGAAGTACTGTCGCTATTTTCCACACAGTCCACAGTATGCGGGCACGTCCTGGAGCGCCGAACGATATGGGTCTTGAAATGATGTCGCGAAGTTGTATAATTTTCCCAGAGATGCACCTGACATCGGCGCCCGCAGTATCCTCAGATGCGTCTCCTCTGATGGGCTGTGTCTGCCTTCCCAGGCTATGGAGCACCTTCAGTCATTCATCCAGGACTGTGACCGGAAGACGGAGCTGGCCAAACGCCGACTGGCCGAGACTCAGGACGAGCTGTCGGCCGAGGTGGCCGCCAAGGCAAACAAGGTCAGTGTGACGCCCGGGTGGGTGGTGCCAGGCTCGGATCTTGTGGGATTGAGACCTAGCGATGAGCACGTCGACCGGAAAGGGGTCTTCTAGCTCACTCTCGTACTATTGGGACAAGGCTCTCGTCTTTATCACCATGGGTATAATGATCAGCGTTATCGCTGATGTTTGCGCTGGCTGAACGTCTAAAAGCCGACGTATCTGCGCTCATGTAACGGAGCCTCATTGGCTCACAGCCGCAGCCCTGTATCGTTACTCGTCTATGGTTTGTAGCTCAAGTCTGACCGTTTCGCCGCTTCCTGTCACTCGCCGTCAGGTGCACGAGCTGGCCGAGCAGATCGGTAAGAAGCTGGCGCGAGCTGAGGAGCTCGGCGCCGATGGACTCGTCGAGGAGAGCATGAAACTCATGGAGGAGGTGAGGCTGCTGCAGCTGCACCCCACCATAGAAGAGGGGGGGGGGGGGACAGGGCCGGGGCGACTTGTGATGATAGTACTTATGAGCGAGCTCACTTTTTTCAGTACACGTGCTTAGCTTATATCGACGTATAATCAGCTGACGCTTATGATTTTCCCCGTAAATACTTTTCTTGTGTATATTCTGCTCCATCGCCGAGTCGAACGATTTGCCGCTGAGCTGACCATCCCGGCTGAGGTGACTGTGCGCCGCTGACCGTGTGCCCGTCTGTCCACCGCTGACCTGAGCTGACCGTGCGCCGCTAACCTGACCCTCCGGTCCGGCGCCGCAGGTGGAGGACATCCGTAAGCAGAAGGCGCTGGCCGAACAGGAGTACCGCAACTCGATGCCGGCGTCCAGCTACCAGCAGCAGAAGCTGCGTGTCTGCGAGGTGTGCTCGGCCTACCTGGGCATCCACGACAACGACCGCCGGCTGGCCGACCACTTCGGCGGCAAACTCCATCTGGGCTTCATCAAAATCAGAGAGAACCTCGCCGAACTGCGGGTGAGCACGGACTGACGCCTGGGCGCTTTGCAGCAGAAGTTACTATTATGTACCCCTTTCGCTTATATTTCGATGTCTATAGCTGTTTTTGTGACTGTCTTTATTCGTTCATGCTTATTGGGTTTACTCAATTATTGAAGTGAAGCGTTGCAGGCTGCACCCTTTTCATCGTCTCCTTGCTTTATCTGCTTTCAGCCTTCCCTGTCAATCAACTCGTCCCACTCTAACCCCTCCCCCTCGGCAGAAAACCGTGGAAGAGCGGCGAGAGGAGCGCAGGAAGGCGCGCGAGGCCGAGCTGAATGAGCGACGGCGCGGCTCGCGCGACCGCGACCGGAGCCGGAGCCGGGAGCGGCGGCGCCGCAGCCGCAGCCGGGACTGGGAGCGGGACAGGGACAGGGACAGGGACCGGGACCGGTCGTCCCGGCGGCGCAGCAGGAGCAGGAGCCGAGACCGCGACCGCGACCGGCGCAGGTGAGCCGCGGCGGACGGGAGACACTTGGAAATGGGTTGATTTCTGCAGATCCTCAGAGGGTTAAGACCGTGGAGCGTTTTGTGTCTGGTGTTAAACGGACAAACCTCGGAATTAGTTCTGTTTGGAGGTTTCTGCGAAACGCGCTTGGAGATTCTTGTAGCTTTTTAGACTAATGGGGACTTTGTAGTATGGTGATGTTAGTACCCGAGCGCAGTGCAGCCGGTTCAGCGTCTCAGTGGTTTTCCTATCCCACCAGCTGTGCTGACGGCCTTACCGCACTCCGCAGGTACCGCGACCGGTCCAGTGAGCGGCGCAGGGACCGCTCCCGGGACCGAGACCGTGACCGGGACCGTCGCCGGCGGCGGGACAGCAGGGACCGCGACCGCGAGCGAGACCGGCGGTCAGAAAGGTGTGTATCAGAGGCGGACGGATCACGGAGGGACGGGCGCGGTGGAGGGAGGGAGAGGCAGTTTTGGACGTGGCTGGCTACCGACATTTCTATCAATTGCATCTTAGATTGCTGCTCTCCTTGGTTCGTTGCCCTCGACTTTTTTCGGTTGTTAAATAATTATCTGTCGGTACTGGTGTTGTATCTTTTTTTTTCTAGTCCTTGTGTGGTAGACGTTTTTTTTTCATCCCGCAGTCAAACATATCCCCTCACTGTCACTCGTCAGTGTATGACTCGCCCCGATCTGACGTGACACCCCTCCTCATCCCCACCCTCACCCCCACACACCCTCATTGTATGACCCGCTCCGATCTGACCCGTTTCTCCCCCTCCCCCAGACGGTCGGCCAGCGCGTCTAACGGCCGCGGGGACTCTGCCAGTCGCGACTGAGTACCGGCCGAAGTCGCCTGTCCACCCCGGCCGGTCAGTCCCGCCCCCTGCGGCGTCACTGTTCGATCTGTGTGACCGGTGACGTCACTGCTCGATCTGTGTGACGTCACTGTTCAGTCTGTGTGACTGGTGACGTCACCGCTGTCCTGTGTGACGTGTTAGCTGACTGCGCGAACTGTAATGTGACATCTATTGAACTGCCGGCAGAGCGAGTCCGAACGACGGCGGCTGAGCCGGGCCGGCGGACCGGCGGCGGCTGCTCTTTATCTATCCGCGACGGGACGGGACGGGTTAGGTGGGTGCCGTGGGGCGGGGCGGGTGTGGGGTAGTCACCGTATGTGCTGACCGGCGCGCATCACCCAGTTACGCCGCAGATCATCCTCCCATTGTCTGAGCCCCGCGACTGGCGCGCTCTCCAATAAATCGGTACAGCACGGCCGCTGAGTTTCGTCAGAGTCCGCCGCGGCGCCGACACAGGTGGTTGGAGCCTCGTGTAGACCCCGGCGATATCCGGGCGATGAAGTGTGCGGGAGAGGAAGGGAATAGGGGAGATCAAGGAGACATCGGGACGCCAGCCGCGGAACTCCGCCTCCTTGACCCGTGAGCGAGTCGTGATGGCTGCCGTGTCGTGGAGAAGTAAGACTCGGATGGCGCTTGATACGAGATACGGATGGCACTCGTATGCCTTAGGGGTGTGCAACTCTTGAGCTGCCGAGATCAATCGTGCCTGTCTGGACCCTCTATCCCTTCCGTTTTCAGCTTTCTTTTATTTTTGCATTCTGTTTCTGTTACGTAGCCTGGGTGAGGCTTTTTGTTTCTATCCCAGGGTCTGGAAAACCGGAATGCTATCCGCCCGTAGTGGGGCGCAGGTATCGTCATTAGTTTCTGCCGGCATGAAAGACACGGAGAAAGCTCGCTCGCCAATCTCCATTCATCTCAGAAAGCGAGATTATCTGGCAGCCGTGGCTCTGGACCGATAACTTTTTACCTTCTTCCATCGAGCAGTAAATCATATATCGCGGTTTCACGTGTGCCCGGTACCATGCTCTCCGCGCGCCGGTCATGCGGAACCCAGTGTCATCCATTTTGCGTCTCTCCCGTGTAGATTTCGGATGGAGCTGGCACGGGCCTGGCGTTCTATCGAATCTCGTGCAGAGATCAGTCTATTCTCGGGGGTAGCGGCGCTGGGAATTGCTTTCAGCTTGAATGAGCGCGTGACGCCTCCGGAGAGTTCGTCCGAGTGAAATCGGCCGGCCCGGTGAGAACTGGCTGGACAAGGGGATATTTATCTGCTTTTTGTGTCGTATCGGCTTAACTACGAGCACACGCACACCAGTACATGGGTATTAGGCACACGTAAACCAGTTCGTGACTAGGGATCGTACGTAACCGTGCACGAGATGTGTGGTAGCCTCGCGTCACACAACGCTCGACGGAAGGGTGTCGCGTGTCCAGTCCGCTGTCCACCCAGTTGGAAATAGGCCAATATGACTGCTCGAAAAAAACTGATGCATGTTTTCAGTGATTGGTGACTAGTATTTTTTAGTATTCTATTCTAGTCTTCTAGTATTCTGGTATTTTCTTGGGGTGAAAATTTAGCGCTGTGAAGAAAAAAAAACACTGATGTGGTACTATGAAAGTGACAGGATTTAGTAATGCCACAAGGAAAGGTTCATATGAGTAATGCACACAAGAAGTATCATGCATCAAAGTCAAAGCCAAGTGATTACATCAGACCATGGTGATGTGTTAGTATACATAGTCAATGTAGCATGTAACTCGAAATGTATTTATGATATGACACGAGGCATAAAACAGGACACAATACCATGCCGCTTCGTCGAATCCTGTCGGTTACAAATGAAGCCGTTCTAAGGGAATGAAGATGCCGCGGATGAAAAATGTTTCACAGCCTCGCTTACAATCTTACAACACTTTCCAGCGGTGTCTCTCATATCCTTCACTCACTGCTGAAGAGCGTTGATTTGATAAAATAATGCTGACCATAAAACTAGCCACTGGATGGACGCATTTTCTAATAAATTAAAATCGATACAACACTTTAATGATCGCCTTATCATAACTACGATCCACTATTCGGCATTGAAGTTTAACCTGAATCATCCAGCTCCGCGCCCAAAGACGTCTTTCAGGGAGGTCCACTGTGCCCCGAGTCGTCTTTCGCCCTTGAGCCGCCCCTAGTGTCGCGGTTTGCGGTTCGCGGCACCCCGGCGGGGTGACTGGCGTTCTTCCTCCTCCTTTACCCTCTGCTGATGGTAGATCATCTGCGCGAACTGCGTCTCTCCCTCGACAGACAGTCTGCGGGCAGCGGGAGAGGCGTGAGCGGGGCAGAGGAGGGACAGAGTGGATAGCGAGAAAGGCGTCGATGTGACAGAGGAGGGACTGAGCGGACAGCGAGAGAGGCAGAGCAGGGACTCAGTAGACGGCAAGGGAGGCACCAGTGATGCAACTTCTCTAGCTAAATGGCCTGCAGGCGTTCACGAAATAATCATCGCGTCATTACCGTTATATAAGATGGATTATGGGAGACGAGAGCCAACACTTTTTATTGTAGACGGAACATCGGTGGTCTCATTCCCTGCACGTAACACCCACAGTCAAGATTGTTTGATACAAACTAGCGCTGCAGCAGCTCGTCGCTCACCTGCACGTCTCGAAGAGCATCCAGAGCCAGAGCCGGCAGCTCCAGCTGCTGCAGCCGACCAGCGCGGCGTGGCTCTCACAGCGCAGCTTCACGTACCGGTTCGTGTGGCGCATCTCGCCCTCCAGAAGACTGTCGTTGTGCAGAGAGTACACCATGACTATCTGTCGGGGCAGAGGGCGGCACGAGTGAGCGGGGAATTCGCCAGGGTTGGTCGGAGAGACGTGTCGTACTTTCAGGAGAGCGCGGTTTGGTCACTTACGGAAAATGTGCAAAAGGAAACAGAAGTTTGATATAGGTACGAAATGAATTGATTCACTGTCACAATAAAAATGATGCTGCCTCTGGGAAAGAAAAGCATAGTGCGCTGTACTGTCTTCAGCTCAGCGCGAGTCGGCGGGAGCCCCTGCGCCTGTGGACCGTACCCCGGCGGGCTCGTGGGTGGCCTCCTGCATCCGGTGCAGCAGCACCGAGACCAGGCTGGAGACGGCCTCCTTCTCCTCTGCGCAGCTGACCGGTCGCCGCTCGAGCCGGCACACCAGGCCCTGGCACAGGTGGCGCACCACCGTCCGGATGTACGCCGTGATCCCGCTCACCCTGCCCAACAAACACACAAAATGGGTGTACACTGGGCGATACATTACACACTACACCGTGAGCCCGCTCACGCTGCCCAACAAACACACAAAGCGTAAAGCTCACTTCGCGGAACAGACGCAAACACACGAGCGGTATGGCTCACCATTGGAGATGGGCGGGCATTTCACATGGAACACATAGCCTGGGAACGGACATCGTATAATCTCGTCCACTATTATGCGTAAAACTCCACACCATGTTCTTAGATATTGTTACAGAGAAGCGGCGACCTGTAACTTCGCCCATTGACGCATCTCCCTTTTGCCCGTTCGATACCAGCGCAGTGCATTTTTACTTACCTAACCATATCGCCCACTTCGATGTGACTCTCGATCTCGGCGTATGTCCGGAATGCATTGGGCGCAATACCGTCTCCGCTGCCCCGGCCGGAGAGAAACGTGTTGGGGCTGACCAGCGCCGGCCACTGCCTGCAACGACGTCCGGCTGTCACTGGACGGACAAGCACAGTAGGATGGAAAGAATCACAGAGCCGAACACACCATTGGCTGATATGCTGAACAGTTTGGCTGGAATACATGCGATACTAGCTAAACTAGTCATTGCTGATTTTATTTTACAGTATCGTCAGCAGCTAATTCCCATTGAAAAGCGAAGACCGAAGTCATGGTTCACGCATGGCTACTATAGTCTGTAGTCTGCAGTGCAGTGTAAACAGGTTCACAACTAAGCTTTCCATTCCTTTTTCATCTAACTCAGCAGCAGACGCCTGCGACAGAGCTTACCACTGGTTCTCGCGGAGAAATGCGAGCATGTCGCAGCTGACGATCTTGCTGAAGGCCATCGGCTTGCCGCGCAGCTCGACGTGGTGGTAGCGCCGGTCGCAGCCGAGCTGGAAGAACTGGTGGACGGTGGAGATGTGGTCGCCGGCCGACCTCTCCACCCGGAGCAGCGCCTCGATGGCGCGCGGGTCGTCGGCGCAGCCCTGGCTCTGCAGCAGCTCGTGCACCTCCAGCAGCTGCAGCGACAACAGGGGGCGTCGTAGTGAATTGGGACACATTATCTCGGGTAGATGGCACACATGCCAATCTACGAATAGAAATCTATCGAATGTTCAGCCGAAAAGCCGCAATTAAAATAAAAATAGACAGCATATTTTTGCAAATTACTCTCGTTACATACTGAATAACTCATGAAATTGATTCACCCCTTGCAGGCTTATGCTGAACATCTATAGACCTAGAAGAGTTCAAAGACCCGCCCCCAACGATCTCCTCAAGCAGTAGTTTGAGTCTGACCTGTTTGGAGGACATGAACCGTTGCGGCATGGCCAGCGCGAGCCGCCCCAGGGGGCTGAGCAGGTCGGTACGCTCCTCGCCGGTCAGACAGCGCGCGAACTCGCTCTCGGCCGGCTGCAGCAGGTGTTTGTGCTGGGCCACGTAGGTGCCCCGCGGCGGGATGCCCTCCACGGGCCGCAGCTCCAGCGGCCCCACCAGGCACGGGTACTCGCTGGTCGAGTCCGCCTCCGCGACCTCCACCCGCGGCTCGGCTGGCGTGGAGGAGGAGGACTTGGTGGTGCGCCTGGTGGACTTTTTCCTGGGCTTGGCGCCTGAGCTGGCTGGTGGGGATGATTGGGTGTTGGTTTTCAGCTTCGGTGATGCACTGGCTTCGTCATTTGGGCTGGAGTCCATGTTAACACGCCGATCCGGGCCATTCTTGTCCTGCTTTGAAGCTGCAGCATCGCTCGTCTGTGCTTGGAGTTTGCGGCCACCTTTCTTCTTCCTGGACGACTTTTTGGGCATATCGGCGGGCTTGGACTCTGACGCCGGAAATTTCACCGCGTCCTCTCCCTCGGGTGTCTCTCGTCTGTCACCAGCCTCCTTGGCGCGCGCCGCCGAGAGGACGGCGGCGGAGATGCTCTGTAGCGAGGCGAACATCTGGTCCATCTGCGGCAGCGCCTGTCGCACCTGCTCCACGTCGCCGGTGACGCTGCCGCTCTCCAGCCGCAGCTGCTCGCTGCTCCGACACGCCTGCTTCATGCGGTCGTCGATGTCGCTCAGCATCGACTCGAAGTGGTCGGTCTGGTGAACGCCACCGAACACCCTCTCCTCGTCCAGCTCCATGGCCGTGGCCTCCAGGACGGCCACCTCGTCCGTGTTCCCGGCCATCGTGACGCTGACTTTCAGAGAGGCTTCACTCGCTCCGTGAGACGTGGTCCCTTCCCTAGCTATGCCGCTGCTGTCGTCACTCTTGACGTCGTGTCCTCCAGCAGCGCAAGCATTCCCATCTTCGGTGTCAGTCGTCTCACTCGTGTCTTGAGCTTCGTCAAGTTTTCGTTTTGGCTGCCTGCGAACAGCACTGTTCGTCCTGTCAGTGTCATCCTCGTCTTTTTCACCCGTTTCGCGGACAGGGATTCCCCTTTCCACGGCTTTCTTTTCGACAACATCGCTGTCCGTTTTCCCCTTCTCCAAAGCGGCGTTGGCCAGCTTCTGCGGGCTGTCCACCACGTCCAGAATGTCGGTCAGAGACCCACCCAGCCGAAGATGCCGCTCCGTGAACTCTTCCATCACCCTCACCCTCATCTCCTCGACAGCGTCCAGACGTTCGCCGTCCCTATCTTGCTCGCCATCTGGGCTTCTGCTTCCGCTGGCAGTCTTCGCCTCAACTCTGTTTTCTCGGTCATCCTCACGGAGCTTCTTTGGTGTCGCGCTACCGGCGTCTGATGCTGCCATGCTAGGAGCAGCAGCAGGTGCCGCTCTGGTCTGTTTCTTGTTCTTGGCAGCTACCCGACGAGCATTACCAGGGTTCTGTCCGGCCTCCGATGCGGCGCCCCGAGCTGTAGCGCTGCTTGGACGCTGGACTTTGGGGACGCCTACTGCTCCCTGAGGGTTCTGGCAGTTGCGGTCGACGCTCTTACGGTCCCAAAGGAACCCCAGTGGAACACCCATGCTTCGGCTGAACTGCTCTGGATCCAGCGACTTGAAGTCGGACGCTCGGGCGGTGGAGAAACCTGCAACGTCGGATCAGATCAGGGGCTGAAAATTGTCGCTCGTGCTTCTTTTTGTCAAGAACATACGGCAATTGATCTAACTGTATTAGCAAATTTCTACTTTATGCTTATTGCATTGTGCATTGAAATGGTTTAAAGTAACTGAAAATAGATTAGAGGCTGTTCGACTGACCTGTGTAGTTTGTCGGCGGCGGCGGGTCGAAGAGCACGTCTCCTCGCTCGAACCTCCTGTCGAACCAGTGGCCGACCCGGTCACCGTACCGGACGTCCCGCTGCACCTGCCGCCGCCACCAGGCTGCGTCGCGCCGCTGCCGCTCCTCCACAGTGCAGGGGCGCTCCCAGGGTACGGGATCGTCTGGAGGCCGTCTGCGCCGCGCCAGAGCCGCGCAGGTGGCCCGACTACGTCGCTGGAAGGCTGACAGAACTGCCCTCAGCTGCCTGGGTGACGCACGCCCGTGGGTGAGGCGGTCTGATGCGTAGGAAGCTGGGGATGCGGCCGTGGAGCTCTGCGTAGGCTCGAGCTCTGCGGCTCCGTGGGAGAGTGATTCTTTGGATAGACTGTGGTTACCATTGCTTGTTCCATTCCGTCTCACTGGTACCTGACTTGTGGGCACGGACTTACTTTGAGATTTCTTTTCAACACAGGTCTTCCTCCTCGCACCGCCGGTTGGCTTTGAGCCTGTATCGTCCAGTTCTGGTTGTGTGCCGGGGTCGTCACCCTGATCTCTCGCTCTGCTCTCCGCCGGTGCTCCGTCAGGCCGCGCCCGGTCTTCTGATGGAGGCCTGGAGACCTCGACTGGTCTGGCCGTCCAGCGCTCCAGCTGCGCGGAGACGGGCCAGACCAGCGGGGGCAGCAGCTCGTACCCCGGTGGCGGACGGAACGCTCTCGGCGGCTGGCCGATCGGCAGGGGTAGCCGCTCGATCTTGAAGTTCACGGACCACGGAGTACGGCCCTCCAGGTGAATACAGGCGGCTGCTAGGAGGGCGGTCAGTTCGGCGTATCTGGTGCGATTCCTCTTCAGCTCAGCTGCTGCTTTTGGATCGGTTAGGGCAGCATTTTGCTCGGTACTCGAGACCTGCACTCCATTAACTTTGGTAGAGCTTCCACCGGTACCGCTTGCACAGTTGTTCTTTACCTCAATATCCTCAGATTCGACATCTTTCTCAGCACTACCATTCATCTCAGCTTCCTTTCTGTTGGCGGCATTCACCTCAGTGCCGTTGAAAGCGGCGCCATTCGCCTCGGCACCATTCGACTCGGCACCAGCTACCTCGACATTATTTGTCTCGGCAGCATTCACCTCGGCTCCATTCACTTTGGCAGAATTCGCCTCTGCATCTCTCACATTTGGATCCTGCACCTCTGCAACCTTCATCTCTGCACCTCTCACATCTGCATCTGATCTCACCTCTGCATCCTCCACCTCTGCATCCTTGACCTCCGTGACATTCGCCTCACCTTCGTTGACCTCAGCAGCGCTCGCCTCTGCCGCCCTTATCTTTCCATTCCTCACCTCCGTATCTTTTTCTTCGACATGTTGTTCCGCATCGGCTTTCGCTTCGGTATTTTTCGCAGCGACATTCACGCTCATACCATTTGCATCAGCTCCATTCGCCTCAGCAGTATCCGAATGAATACCATTCCCATGAATGCCGTTCACCTCGATATCATCAATATCATTCGCCTCAATATCATTCACGTTTGTATTCTTCCCTTCTGTACCCTCCACCGCAGCTGCTGTACTCTCTGCGGTATCCCCGGCTGGCGCGTTGGCGAACTGGAACGCCGACTCGTCCAGCAGCTTGGCCAGCTGCTCCAGCTGCACCATCACGGCCAGGTAGCGCAGCTCCGTGTCGCTCCCGGTGGCGCCCGCACCCAGCCCGCTCTCGGACGGCTCCTCGCCAGCTGCTGGTCCGCTCCCTGGACACAGCTCGGGAGCAGCCGGTGGCTGATTATCGGGGCCTGTACCTGTGGTTTCTAGATCCCTAACCAGTGAGTCTGTGGATGCATCGGGTGATGTTTGCCGATGTGACGCACTCAGGGCGCTCTCAATTGTCGCTGTTTCTACCATGGGTGGTCCGCCGTTCGCTGCTGTCGCCTCTGTGTTCTCTTCAGGTCGAGGGTCGGTCTTATCAGTCCGTGCTCCCTCCTCAAACCCGAGGTTGGTGATGGATCCTTCAGCCCCGTTGTCTTCTCTGTTACCAGTGTCGGTAGTGTTCCTCGGAGTTCCGATGTCCACCGCCTCTGTCCCCGGCTCCCATCCGACTCTAGTCTTCCAGGTATCGATATCGGTGGCAGGTGCCTCAGTCTCCCCCAGCCCGGGGTCTGGGGTGGTGGTCCCAATCTTGATGTGTGCTGTAGCTGCTCCAGCCTCCTCCTTGAATCTGCAGTCTGGAGCAGTGGTTCCGTTCTCGGTTTTCGCACCAGTCATTTCAGCCTGAACAGGATCTGGGGCGGTGGTTCCGGTCTCGATGTCTGCTGCAGTTGCCTCAGTGCCCTCGTGTTCGGGGTCTGGGGCCGCGATTCCGGTCTCGGTGCCTTCTGTAGCTCCGCTCTCAGCCTCCTCCCCGAATCCAGGATCGCTGGTGGTCGTTGTGGTCTCGATATCTGTCGCGGCTGTCTCGGTATCTTCGAGTCCGGGGCCATTGCTAGTTGTCGTTCCGGTCTCTGTGTCCGTCACAGCCGTCTCAGCATCCTCCCCGAGACTGGGGTCTGGGGCGGTGGTTCCGGTTTCGATATCCACCGCAGCTGCCTCAGTCTCCTCGAGCCCGGGGTCATTGTTGGTTCTCGATTCGGTATCGGTGTCAGTAGCAACCGTCTCAGCCTTCTCCCCGAGTCTGGGATCGGGGGTGGTCGTCCCGGTCTCCGTCTCTGCTGTAGTTGCTTCAGTCTGCTCCTCAAGTATGGGGTCTGGGGCGGTGGCTTCGGTCTTGATATCCGCCGCGGATGTCTCAGCCTGCTTGGGGTCGTTGGAGGTGGGTGTTCCCGTCTCGGTGTCTATGGCAGCTGCCTCAGTATCCTCGAGTCTGGTGGTCGTCGTCGTTCCTTTCCTAGTGTCCGTCGTAGCTGCATCAGTCTCCCCGAGTCTGGTGGTGGCGCTCGTCCCATTCTCGGTGTTCGACGTCTCGTCTTTCTCCGCCGTCGGCACCGAAGAAGTATCAACCGGATCGGCTCCAGATTCTCCAGTCGTTGAAGGTGCAGCATCACTTTCGGTCTGAAAAGTGTGACAACAAATTAATTAATCATACCCACGTAATAAAATCGTACTTTTTAACTCTCAGCTATACATCTCTTTTCCATTCCTTATCGACTCTGAGCAGCGGGCATTAAAGGAACCCAAGAAGCTGGTCATTCTTAGCTAGCACCGTGAGGACGACCGATTATTACATGATTATAATAGATGTAAAAATCAAGTATTTCTTTATTATCATCCTTTCCAAAAGTATGCTGAGTCAAAATTATATTGTTTTAGCGTTTTCAAATATATCGGCCACAGACCTTCATCAGTGAAATATAAGAAAGGATTTCCTCCTTTTTTGAGATTATTCACTGATGAAGGCCTTGCAGCGGCTAACAAAGTGCGCTAATCGCAATTCAGTCCACTTTGCGATTTACCGTCTTTCCTTAATTAGCTGACTTACATAACCCTGGCCAATGAATTGGGCAGGCTAGGCATCTACTGATATCTCAGAACACACTGCGATTTTCTAGGTTGCAGGGGCGCTATGCTGACGGGGCCGTATGGTCGGCAGCATGAGAAGACAGAATGATGAGAACTCGTAATTTTGATTTTTAAGCTGACTTTGACTTGTCCTTTCACTGACCTAAGATGATATGTGACGAAGGAAATATATAAATGATTATCATGGGCGCACGTTTATTGTCGCGTTTCGTTTGGCATCTTAATTATTTTCTTCTTCGTAACCTGTATTTGGAGAAAATCATCACATAGGTAGGTACGTGAAATATTCCCATGTTTTTAATATTTTCCCCGTCTGTGTTCGCTGGCTCAGGCTGAAAAAGCTTGAGGCGCGGCAAACGTTTATCGACTGATAACTTATCAATCACTTGTTTCTGAATCGTTTCACGGTTCTCCTTTAATGTATCTCATTATCAGGCCAGCGAGAAACAAATAAAACGATTTGCATCCTTTCACTCACCGCCTTGGGTTTGTAGGGTATCGCCATGACCACTGCACAGAAGCAGTCTTCTGGCGCCGCCTCTCCTTCTGTCCCCGGCTCACACACGCGCCCGCGGCCGTCCCGGCCCGACTGAAACCCCGCCCCTCCCTAACAGCGACCCGCGGGAGGTCACCGGCAGAGGCGCGCTCAGCGACCGGCGACCGGGGGGCACGATTGGGATGTCAAACGGCCGTGAGTCGTGGCTGTGCCCGAGTATTCAGGGCACAGAATGGTCAGCTTTGGTCGAAATATCTAACACGTGTCACCGGAAGGCTCTTTTGTTAGCGTCATCGACTTTTCATTGCTATCGGTTAAATTTGCAACAGTGGCTGGATATTGTAGGCAGTTCTCGCCTAGCTGGACGCCGTAAATTGTGGGCATCTATATCCGAGTAGAAGCTAATGAGCTCCTTATCAGCTCTAAGCTCGTAAACTTGTTTAATTAGCATCCGTAACCATACACTGTTAATCGTACAGCTGAAGTAGCTGTCCTGAAATAACTTCGATACGGGTCTGATATTCTCAGTTTGGTACAAAGTCGCTGCTCAATTACCTGTGACTATAGCAGTATTATCAGTGATGTAGGCATCATCAGCTCACATTACCGGCTTTCTAAGGCGATAAGTGCCTACACAGTATCAAAGTTTCCCACAAATCGGACGTGCCTTGACCGGGCACCGTTACTGGGCCGCCGCTGCACTGTGGGGAGCGGGCCGTTCCGCAAACCGACTCCGACAGCACGTCCGGTCCGCCCTCTGCGTCCACCGCTCCTCTGCAACAGTCTGAGGTGCTCTGAAATAGCAGGTTTTGATGTGAACTCGTCTTGCTTGGCACTATGATGACCGCCGATAATTGATTTCTACCTTATGAACTATAGCATCTGAGTACTTCACACGCATTTCTATATAGATAAAAACTCATCGTCTATTTTGGCACAGTGGAACCGGCAGGTTCAGTAAGAGGTCATTTTGCAGTATCAATTACTTAACTGTTAGTCAGGCCTCGGATGAAGACAGCAAAACCGGCTCGTTCCATGGTGAACGGATTGTTTGTGGTCTGCGGCGGTGAAATATGGTGTTAGTGTCTACGGCTGTGGTGAAGTCTCTTGCCTATTGGTGCTAGTGTGGACTGCCGTAATAAAGTCTCCTGGTGCTAGTGTCTAATGCCGTAATGAAGTCTCCTCATGCGTTAGTGTCCACCACCGCAATGAAGTCTTCTGCCTCCTGGTGCTAGTGTCTACTGCCGTCTCATGCCTGTTGGTGTTAGTGTCTATTTTGCAATCAAGTCTCTCTTGGTGCTAGTGTCTACTGCCGTACTAAAGTCTTCTGAATGAAGTCTTCCACTACGTAGTGATAATACGCAACTGAACATCGCAGCCTTCTGGCCTCCGGATGCTGGTGCTACTGGCCTGTCAAGCTTTGCAGTCTCCAGGGCTCTATCTCGGGTTATGCCACCCAACGACTGAGTTCACATTGTCTTTAGGCATCAATCCCTAGTTGGATATGTGGACTGTTTGTTTGTTTGTTTGTTTTGTTGGGTTAGGCCCTTTCGGTCGACAAGACCATTGCAGAGCCGGAAGGATGATAGGATTTAGGGGGAGACATTGGTCTGGGCAGGCACCCTAGTGAGTCGCCGGGGCTGAGCCCGTCCAGAGGACAGGCCACCCAGCCCCAAGGCACTCACTGCACCCGGCTACGGGGTGCGCTCCCTCAGGAGCAGCGGTGCCGCTCCAAGGGAGCAGCCCGCATGAGATAAAGTTGCCTGTCCAGCCCGGAGGGGGGTTGCGGCGTGGAGGAGAAGGATTTCAGCATCCTGAGGATAGAAGCATGGGAAGGTCGATATGTGGACTGGATGGAGGCCACCTTTTCTCTCCCATCCCATGTCCCATCCCTTCCCATCCCCCTATCCCTGCCGGTCGGTCGGCCCAGGTCGGCCGGCGCGGCGATGTGACCCACACTTTGGCGAGGGTCAGCTCGGGCCGCCGCGCCGGGCCACTCAGCTGACTGGCGGCCCAGCTGACTGGCCGTGGCACCAGTTGGCCCAGTGCCAAGTGGGCCGCCACCGGCGGACCTGGTTCCGGCCGTCTCATGTCGCCGGTGGCTGCAGCTCTGACGGACAGCTGCTGATGGTCAGCGGGCGGCGGCTGATGACTGAGTCAGCGCCTATAGATGCGGTGAAAACTTCTGGAACAGAAGCGGAACAGAACAGAACTTCTGTTCATAGAAAAGCTGCCTAGATTGATTTCGCTCGCTGTATTTGGCGCTTTTCATTGGGCTATCAGCAGCCTAACCCTGAACCGTTCTGGCTGACGTCAACAAGACGCCCCATCCTGCTGATCTCAGCAGTCGGTGATGTCCAATGGTCCCCGTTGGGCGTCGTCTGTGTTCATGTGCCACCCGCAGGTCGATGTCGGCCGGTGCCGACCGTCACCTGTCCCAGTTAATGTCGGCGGCCGACCCCGATCCCGTGAGCGCGCCGCCGCGCCGTGCCCTCGTTCGGTCCCGCCAGGTCCGGCTAGGGCGGCCGTGGCACGTCCCCCGTAAACGGGTTACAGGTGTCGACGTCCTGCTGACCCGACCTGCCCTCCTCTCCGCTCCCCTCGCCGCACAAAGGAGCGCCAGACGGTATAACTACCTTGTAGGCAGAGGCGGTTCCAGGATGCATGGCTCGTAATACTGGATAGGTAATCTCTTACTTGTGGAGCCGTATAGGCAGCATTGTTGATGAAGTTTTTCAATGAATCTGAGCCTCCCCTACCAAACTAAAGTTACTATGTTGAGCGTATACTGCAACCTTCAGTATCCCATGGCCACTGTTTTCACCCCCTGGCCGCGCCACTCAGAGTCCACTGTCGACTGCTGTGCTCCGTCCCGGCCGCCTGGCGCCGCGCCTGGCACCTGTGCTCCACTGGCCCACTGAACTGCCGACCGCCAGTCATCCGTTAATCGGACGTGGCCCAGTGGCGACGGCGGCGTCACCCGGGGACTGACGGTGCCGGCCGCGCCGCCTGTGACCGCGCCGTCATCCGGGGAGACCGCGCCGGCCGCGCCGCCGGTGACCGCGCCGTCACCCGGGGAGACGCGACGGTGCCGGGTCGCCTCCGCTGCGACCAACTGTAGCCGGTGTCATATCCTCGGGGGTCGGGCGACAAGTTATTTAAAGTCGCCACCATCAATAACTACATACAAGGTACCGTAAAGTGGGGCTATTTGAGACAGTAAGGTAATGGTATAGTAAAATCGCTGTAAAATGAAAACCGTTTGATGTTTTTTCGTCATTTTTGCTTAGGCTAATGTAGAATTGAACAGTGAATGCCCTGAATAACCTTTTTGAAAATTTCGAAAAGTTCTGAAAGAAATTTGCAATAAAATACGAAATACAGAAAAACGCACAATTTAAGTTGCTCAAAAAGGACCCCTACCTGCAGCTTAAAAAAGTTGAAGTTTTAACAGCTTCGCCACTGTATCCATCGTTACTACCTTTTTGCTTATAGGCTAAACACATTTTTCATGAAAATATTATATGTTGTTAACGGTACTGCCGATTGTGTATCCCATTGTCTCAGAATCCCGATGATGCCCACCTGGTCAAACTTCAACGGATATGCCAAATAGCTGATGATAACGGTGATGCGATGCACCCGAGAAAACTTACCGCCATCTACCTGAAATGCATCGAACGTTCGACATAAGCATCACCGGTGAATCGGTCGTGGTCATAAACGTGCAGTGGGTTCATGGCAGTGGCGTATCCAAGGGGGGATCCTGGGGGTCCTAGGATCCCCCCTGGAGCCTAGAAAAAAAGTTTTTTTTTATGACACGGAAAAAATTGAAATGACTTCAAGGGCCCTTTTGACCACTTCCCATTTTATTCGCTAAAAGAAAAAGTATTGTAGAACTCTTTTAGGGACCCTTTGAGGATTATTAGAGGACACATTTAGGCCAATGATGGACCTTGTGAAGTATACAGAGGGCCCTCTCAGGTACACAGAGGGCCCTTTCAGGCACACAGAGGGCCCTCTCAGGCACACAGGGGCCCTCTCAGGCACACAAAGGCCCTCTGAGACACACAAAGGGCCCTCTCAGGCACACAGACGGTCCTCTGAGAATCACAGAGGGCCCTTCCAGGCACACAGAGGGCCCTCTCAGGCACACAGAGGGCCCTCTCAGGCACACAGAGGGCCCTCTCAGGCACACAGAGGGCCCTCTCACGCTCACAGAGGGCCCTCTCAGGCACACATAGGGCCCTCTCAGGCACACAGAGGGCCCTCTCAGGCACACAGAGGGCCCTCTCAGGTACATAGAGGTCCCTCTCAGGCTCACAGAGGGCCCTCTCAGGCACACAGAGGGCCCTCTCAGGCACACAGAGGGTCCTCTCAGGCACACAGAGGGCCCTCTAGGGCTCACAGAGGGCCCTCTCAGGCACACATAGGGCCTTCTCAGGCACACAGAGGGCCCTCTCAGGCAAACAGAGGGCCCTCTCAGGTACACAGAGGGCCCTTTCAGGCACATAGAGGGCGCTCTCAGGTACACAGAGGGTCCTCTTAGACACACAGAGGGCCCTCTCAGGCAAACAGAGGGCTCTCTCAGGTACACAGAGGGCCCTTTCAGGCACACAGAGGGCCCTCTCAGGCTCACAGAGGGCCATCTCAGGCACACATAGGGCCCTCTCAGGCACACAGAGGGCCCTCTCAGGTACACAGAGGGCCCTTTCAGGCACACAGAGGGTCCTCTCAGGCTCACAGAGGGCCCTCTCAGGCACACATAGGGCCTCTCAGGCACACAGAGTGCCCTCTCAGGCACACATAGGGCTCTCTCAGGCACACAGAGGGTTCTCTGAGACACACAGAGGGTCCTTTCAGGCAAACAGAGGGCCGTCTCAGGTACACAGAGAGCCCTCTCAGGCACACATAGGGCCCTCTCAGGCACACAGAGGGCCCTTGCAGGCAAACAGAGGGCCCTCGCAGGCAAACAGAGGGCCCTCTCAGGTATACAGAGGGCCCTCGTAGGCAAACAGAGGACCCTTTCAGGCACACAGAGGGCCCTCTCAAACACACAGAGGGCCCTCTCAGGTACTCAGGGGGGCCTCCCAGGCACACAAAGG